TTTGGCGGGCCTGGGCTGGATTTGAACCTGCCACCTTAGGTGTATGTGGCTGGCACCTTAGCCACTTGAGCCACAGGCGCCGAGCCTTTTTTCTTTCTTTTTAAGCAAAGTCTCACTCTGTTGTCCCAGGCTACAGTGCTGTGCTATCATAGCTCACAGTAACCTCAAACTCCTGGGTTCAAGCAATCCTCCTGCCTCCTAAGTAGCTGGAACTATAGGCATACACCATTATGCCAGGATAATTTTTCTATTTATAGTTTATTTTTATTTATTTACTTATTCATCAAGATGGGGTCTCTGTTGTTTGGGCAAGAGTGCAGTGGCATCATCATAGCTCACTGTAGTCTCAAACTCCAGAGCTTAAGTGATCCTCTAGCCTTAGCCTCCTGAGTAACTGGGACCAGGGGTATGTACCACCATGCCTGGCCTATTTTTACTTTTTTGTGTGGCTACTAAAAGATTTAAAATGACATACATAAGGTGGGGTGGGCATGGTGGCCTAGGAGTTTGAGGCCAGTCTGAGCAAGAGCAAGATCTTGTCTCTGAAAATAACCAGGCACTGTGGTGAGTGCCTGCAATCCTAGCTACTCAGGAGGCTGAGGCAAGAGGATGGTTTGAACTCAGGAGTTTGAGGTTGCTGTGAACTGTGACACCACCGTACTCTACTGAGAGGTGTGACAGAGTATGACTCTGTCTCAAAAAATGAAATAAAATAGGTTTGGTGCCTATTGCACAGTTGTTACGGTGCCAGCCACATACACTGAAGTTGGTGGGTTCAAACCCAGCCCTGGCCAACTAACCAACAATGACAATTGCAACAAAAAATAGCTGGGCATTGTGGTGGGCACCTGTAGTCCCAGCTACTTGGGAGGCTGAGGCAAGAGAATCGCTTGAGCCCGAGAGTTTGAGGTTGCTGTGAGCTGTGACGCCACAGCACTTTACCAAGGATAACATAGTGAGACTCTGTCTCAAAAAGAAAAAATATATAAATAAATAAAACAAAATGACATAAGTGACTTGCTTTCTATTTCTATTGGGTAGCACCACCTCAAACAAAGCATCTACTTCTAGAATGGGAGAGGAACAGATTCCTGAACAAAAATTATGTTGCTTTGTTTGAAGGAGGATATCTTCTCTTTTTGAAATAATCAATGCAGTGTATTTCTTTGCAGATATTTAACAGAGGGAATGGGTGAAGGGCAAACAATGGGAGGCTATACATTCACTGAGAACTATTTATATAAAAATGTGCTGTGCTAAGTGTTGTAGGGAAAAGAAATTGCTGACTGAGTGGGGAGATAAGATGTGTAGGCATGTGAGTGGTGTGGATAAAGGCTGCAGGATTTCAGACTTTGGGGAGATTTGGCCTTGTGTGACATGGAATGCCAATTTGATCTGGGCCCTGAAGGTAGACGGGGTTTCAATAAAAGAAGTTGGCTGGAGAGGGATGCCTTGGGAAGCAGTCCAGGAGGCAGAAGCACAGGAAGAATGCTGACAGGACAATGTGAACAGGGGTTTAGCCCAGCTGTCGCTGTGGCTAGAGAGAAGAAGACTGGGTGAGGCCTCTAATGGCCTTACACCAGTAGGGGGAATTGCTCCAGACCAGGAATCTGGAGACTAGCCTGGGTGATACAGCAAGCCTCTTAAAAAGTAATAATAATAATTATACCCAGACCACAGAAGAAAATTTATCTTTATTCTGAGATGGCTCAAGGGAACTTTTTTTTTGAGATCAAGCCGCATTTTATTGCCCCAGGCTAGCGTGCCATGGTCTCGGCCTACCTCACAGCAACCTCAAACTGCTGGCCTGATGTGCCCACCACTATGCCTGGCTAATTTTTCTATTTTTAGTAGAGACGAGGTCTTCCTCTTCCTCAGGCTGGTCTTGAACTCTGGGTGCTCAAGCGATCCTCCTGCCTTGGCTTCCCAGAGTGCTAGGATCACAGGCATGAGCCATGAGCACTGATGGGAACTTTTATTAGAGGTATGAGGAGCAGTTAAAACACCAGTGAGTACTTAGCCAAAAAGCTGAATTAAGCCAGGTCATGACTCTCCTGGTGCCCTTAGGAAGGCGTCATGGGTCAAGTCGGTATAAATTAGTGCTTGGGAACATGAACTCTAGTAGGAGACTGCCTGGGTTTTAAAACTACCTGTGCAATTTATTAGTTTTGAGATTTGGGGCAATTTGCTTAACCTCTTTTTGCCTCAGTTTCCCTATCTGTGAAATGAGAATGATAGTAATACCTACTGTGTAGGTTTTTTTTTTCTTTTCAGACAGTCTCAGTATGTTGCCCTTGGTAGAGTACTGTGGTGTCACAGCTCACAGCAACCTCAAACTCTTGGGCTTAAGAGATCCCCTTGCCTCAGCCTCCCGAGTAGCTGGGACTATAGGCGCCCACCACAACACCTGGCTGTTTTTTTGTTTTTAGCAGGCCGGGGCTGGGTTTGAACCCACCAGCCCTGGTGCATGTGGTTGGTTCCCTACCCACTGAGCTGTGGGCGCCGCCAAGGGTTGTTGTGAGGATTAAATGAGTTAATTTATGTCAGGGTTTTAGACCACCTGGTGTCTGTACAGAGAGTATGTGCTATAAGAACTGACAACACAGAGCTAGACAGCTAGGAAGCCACGGTCAGAAAAATATCTATTTTTTTAAAATCTGTATCTATACATAAGAACTCTATGTGTATAAATATAGCACACAGAGAATCCTGTGGGGAGAAAGACTGTTGTTAGGTTAGTCTGGCCCGGCGAGGCCCGGTCTGTATCCCCTGCAGCACTTGCTAACCATGCTTTGCTGATGTCGACAGAAATTGTTGCATGCGTTCACAAATACATCTCCAAGTATTTAGCAAAAGTGGACCTAATACAGTAACTGAGTCTAAGTATTCTTAACAAAAAGGGCATTTAAAAAAATACAGTGTTTGAATGGGCTGACTTTCTTTTCTTTTTAAATTGCCTTTCCTGCTGTCTCTCTGTCTCCTCCCCTCCCTTTCACTGGGAAAATGTGAGGAGTAAAGGATGTTTTCTGAACTTAGAGAAATTGCTCAAATTTCCCCAAGGAACTGTATATATTAGTACCTTAGTATACCTGGAACAGATTTTCTTCTGTGGCCCAGATGTAATTATTAGTATTACTACTTCATCTTTTTAGAGACAGGGTACTGTGATGTCACCCAGGCTGGTCTCTAACAACTGGGCTCATGCAGCCCTCCTTCATCCTCTGAACAGTTGGACTACAGGCACGGTGCTCCAGACTGCCGGCTGTAATTATTAATAACATCCTTTCCTCCTACTTTCTTTCTTTCTTTTTTTGAGACAGACTTTCACTTTGTCTCCCTCCACAGAGTTTTGTGGCGTCACACCTCACAGCAACCTCAAACTCTTGGGCTCAAGCAATTCTCTTGCCTCAGCCTCCCAGGTAGCTGGGACTACAGGCCCCCGCCACAGCACGACTGTTTTTGGAGATGGGGGGGGTCTCCCTCTGGCTCAGGCTAGTCTTGAACTCCTGAGTCAAGCAATCCACCTGCCTCGGCCTCCCAGAGTGCTATGCTTTTCCCTCTTAAAAGTCTAGGTCAGGTGGTGAACCACATGGTTATCTCATCTATAGGAAAAAGAGGCAAAGATGGACTTGTGTGTATTAGCGTATCAGGAAGTGGGGGTGTTAGGGTATCCCCTGGGACGGGAAGGAGACTTAGAGGGACAGCTTGTGAATATGGATGGCATCCTGGGCTGAGGGGCAGGGAGGGTGGCAGGGACTGGGGTGGTGAAGGGCACTGGCCAGCAAGGGTCTGACCCCGGGTGAGGCCTTAACGCCTCCCTTCTCAGGCAGGGACAGGTGGGGGAGGTCTGCGCTGGGTCACATGGGCGTGGCCGACCTGGGGTCACTGGTCAGAACTGGTTTGCCCCTTCCTGGACCTCTTTTCATGCCACGAACCAGCCAACACGCCAACGACAAACATCCAGGGCACCAGACTCGTTCTATAGTGATCTTCTGATGTTGGCCGCGGCCGCTATATTCCTAGAGAGTCCCTGAGTCCCACACAAGAAACCCGAAGCTCGACAGATTCTGATTTAGACGAGCTTTCAGAAACGCTCTCTCAGCCACCAGGCTTCGGGCCAGCTTCCTCCCGGATCCCTGTTCCTGCCAGAAAGCGCACATTCCACCCTGCGAGGTCGAGCCGGCCCTCCAGGCACAGCACGCTGCGCCCGCCTGGGCCCCGGGCCGGCCACCCGGAGTCCCGCGCTCCTTTCGGGATCGTTTTGTGGTGAATCAAGAAAACATGTGTGTGCAGGGGCCTGTCCAGCCCCGCCGCGGCCAGGCCATGAGTCCACCTGCTGCCCCCTGCCATCGGTCGTTTGCTGCCCCGGGGACGCTGGCCTCTGAGAACTAGGCTCCCGACCTTTGTTTTTAGGTACCACGGGTGGGTTTTACGAAGTCAGCATAATTATAGTAGAATCTTAAGAGATAGTTCTAGTTTAGGCTGAAAAGCAAGAAATGTAGTTAAGAAAGTCACTTTTTGCCTAGCCGCCCTGCTGCCCCCAGCGGCAGGTGGTCCGGGCGCGGGCGGGTGTAGACGCGGCTTCCGAGCCCCGCTGTGACTTCCCATTGTGCGGGTGTAGACG